CTTTCTGTTCTGGTGTTGCACTAGTTTGGATCCATATTGCCTCTCCCAGTCATCTGGTAGAAGAGAGGGCTCCCAACTCATCTCTGGGCTTCAGGTGCCTCCTCTTGATAACATTGTTTTAACCTCCCTGCTCCTCCTCATGCTTCATGCATCGCCACCAGTCTCCGTCTAAGTCTTTGCTTACGTTACTCCGTTTATCTCTACTCACCTTCCTCCTCTGTGTCCCTGTTCAACCTCCCTCTCATCCACCCGGTTGTCAAAGGTCCAGTTCAAATAGTGACACTACATGGAGCCCTTCACTAATCCCTTTGGATGGGAATATCCTCATGTTCCGTTCAACTCCGTGGCACTTGTTAGCATCTTTTAGTTACTCCTGTCCTTCCTTGTGTGGCGATGTCCATTTACATCTTGGCACTCATGGCGTGCCACCTGTGCCCTCCAAGAAGATTCTGGGGCTGACTTGGCTTCCTTCTCACCTGTAATCCAGCACAGGGGCTTCTTGCTCAGTAGCTGTTTACTAAATGAGTACTACTATCTTATATCTGTCTGGTGTATCACAGCAAGGTCTTACCTAAGTTTTTAAAAATAATTACAAGGACTGCTGTAGTAGACCCTTCTTTGCTTTTGGATGAGATTTTGAAGCATGGCCATATGTGACTTCATTACCTACTCTGCTTGCTGTGACTTGTGTAAGGTGTACATTGCTCATTTTCATCACTTAGGTGGGGACTATCTAGATGAAGGTTTACATGATCCCTTCCTGCCTGACCTCTCAGGGTGAAATTTTGAAGAGACAAAGGTTTTTCATTTGTTGAGTCAGGTACTCCAGGAAAGGCCCTGTAAGGGTTTGTAAGTTTGACCTCTGTTCATTTCCACCTCACATGGAACTGGGAAATCCCTGTGGAAATTCATAGCCCCCAAGCTCTCTTAAAGTCCTTGTAAGGACTCAGGAAGAGGGATTTAAATGTCCTTTTACAAAACAAACTGAAACACCATGAGCTCTTTGGTTTCAGTGCCTCAGCCCTGCCTGTACACTGTATCCAGTAACCACTGATATTTATCTCACAAATGGCTCAGATTGGAAAGTCAGGTTGTTTGCTTCTCAGCAGCCCAGTGAGATGATAAAATTTGAGCAATAATAGAAACAATTGCAAGACTGCTTTGCAGATTGATCATACTCTGCAGGTCTTGATTTAGAATAATGTTGATGATAACCTGAGAAGTAAAATTATTTCCCATGGATATCAGGAGGAGGTGGAAGGAGGTAGATAAATAAAGCTGTCTTTATTGGCTTGTCTCTCTTAATGATTCCTCATGAGGTTGCCAATAGCACTTACTGAAATAAACACTCTGTGAGTAGTTGTTTACCTTGAAAAACTTGCCTGACTTTTTCTTGCCTAACCTCATCTATTCTACATGATAGAAGAAAGGTGAAGACATTTAATTACTTTCCTGAGTATTCCAAAGGTAGAGAAATGGTAAGCTAGAATCAATGAACTCTTAGTTGTTAACCGGCTACTACTGAGAAGTCAGAGTAGTAGGGCTTCTGAAAATCATTCCTTTAGGACTTTGGGGTACATTTCTCATCCCCCCCTTTTTAAAATATAAATATATGTGAAATTAGAGTTGGTATCACCTCTAATAAAGTGCTAGGTACATCAGAAAAAAATTGAAAAAACTGGCAATTATTTTAATCCTTTTCTCTATTTTTCTCATCTTTCTACTTCATATTATGAATATGTAGGATTTCTTCTCTTAGAGACTCATTTGTTACTTTGCTGCCTACCGGGTTCCCATGGCTATTGGAGAATATGAAATATTTTATAGGGAATTTCTAGCTGTTTTTTCTTCCTGTTCAGAGAAAAAACAGAATCGATAAAAACAGTTGTGATGGCAAACCAACCCAGCCCATGTTGCTTGGTGGTACAGTTTATGGGCCAGATAAACCTGGGTTTGAATTCCTCACTTAATCGCTGTTAGGGCCCTCTGTACTGAACTTCATTCAGTCCGTTTCCTCATATCCGTGATAAGGCGGTAATACTTATGGGCTGTGCTCTTTGAATTAAGATAACTTTGTGAATAGTGCCTGATTTGGTGCATGGCATATAAGAGGCACGTTATCATTATTCCTCCTTGTACATAATCCCAGTGTTCTTGTTGAGAGATTTGGAGATTTGATAATAAATCAAACTGAATACACTACTAAATAAATACCTGAGAAATGTTTCTATGATTTTACCTGAAATTTTTGGTTCTTTTATTAATCAAGTACTTACACAGTTCTTCCATCCCCCATTGTTACCTATTCTTTCATTTTTGTGGTTACCATAGAGACTGGAACGCATATCACTGACTTATTAGTGTCTATTAATGGACTTTGTATCACTTTCAGGATAAGGAAAGATTGTCCGCATTTAAGCTCCAATTTATTCGCCTTCCCTTCACTTTCTATGCTGTTGATATTTTAATTATGTATATATTCTAAATTCCAAAAAACATTACTTGTATTATACAGACAATATTTATTAGATTTGCCCACATAGTTACCCTTCCTGTTACTCCTTTAGCCTTCTCACCTTTTCATGATTCCAAAACTGGACCATTTTCTCTCTGAAGAACTCCATTTAGTATTTTTTGGTGTTATTCTTTCCCATGTTGAGAATTGGTTGAATGTGTATTTGTTCTGCTATCCCTTTAAAGAACATTTTTCTGAATATAGAACTCTGGCTGGCAGTTATTTTCTTTTATTTAAAAATGGCTATCCATGATTTGATGAGCATTGTCTTTGTTGAAAGTCAGTCATTGGTTGCATTGTTCCCTTGTCTGCCTCTTGGGAGTTTACTGTGACGTACCTAGATAGGATTTTCTTTGTATTTACCCTGCTTGTGGCATATAACACATCTTGCTTCTATTGCATGCTGTCTTTTAATAAAAATCTTAGCCATTATCTTTTTAAGAATTAATTCTGCCTAATTCTACTCTGTTCATTCTCCTTCTTTCCTGTTAGATCCTATTATACATATTTTAACCTTACTATGTCTCATTTATTTCATAGACTTTTCTGTATTTTTTATCTTTTTCATACCCTGGACTTTATTTTGGATTACTTACATTGTTTTCTTTCATACTCCATCTAATCTGCTATTAGGCTCATTTAATGACCTCCTAATTTCATATGTTGTGTTTTTTCAAGTTAGTCATTTTTTTTTTTCTGGTACCGGGAATCGAACTCATGACCTCGTGCTTGCCAGGCAGGCTCTGTGCCGCTGAGCTAAATCCCCAGCCCCCTGTTGTGTTTTTTTAGTTGTGTAATTTCAACTTGAGTATTTTAATAGATTCCAATTTAGGAAGTAAAATCCTGATTTTTCTATTTCTCTAGTAGATCATAGTTATTTTAATGTTCATTTGGATCCCATAGCTGTATTTCTATTTTCTGCTCTTTCTCCTTGGTTTTAGTCATCTGGTTTTGTCATCTTAAATGTCTGGTAGGTTGCGGTTGAACACCGAAAAAAATGTGGAGGTGCTTTATGATATTATGTTCTTCCTAGGAAGCCAGTTCTTCCTAAGAGAACCTCACCTTAGTCCATTGAGGAATTAAGTTGCTTTTAGAGTGGATTTGTCTTACTAAGAGCTAGTTGCTTTTTACAGCTTTGCTTTTAGTCCCAAGGGCATAACCCATACAGGGTTATAACTAAAAGTCTTGGTATTTAGTACTGACCATGTTCCTTTATAAATTCAGAATTACAATTTTTGTTTTCCTGTTCTATGAGATAGTTAAAAGCATGGTTTTTTTTGGTTGGTTTTTGGGGGTTTTTTTTTTTGGTGGTACTGGGAGTTGAACTTGCGACCTCGTGCTTGTCAGGCAGGTACTTAACGCCACTGAGCTATATTCCCGGCCCTAAAAACATTTTTTAACCTTTCTGTTAGTGTTTATTTTCTCTGTAGTCTTTTAGCCGTCTCTCAGTTTTACACACACACACACACACACACACACACACACACACGCACGCACGCACTCCTCAATGCATTTTTCATGATACCAGTTTCTGGCTAACCTCTCTTCTGTTGCTTTTTTGTTGGAGGATCCTGGCTTCTCAAACTCTTAACTTTTTAAATGTCTCTGAACTTCAGAGTTGTCTTCCTGGTTGACCTGTGAGGTGTGGAAGCTCTGAGTTATTAATTTCTACTTAATCTGTGGCCTACACCACTAAAATATTTCTTAAGAGTAAAAGCAATAGATTTTCTTGGGTCTCCCTCACTGTGTTTCAGTGATCTTTGCCTTTGCCACTTGACAGCAGTAAAGCCGTGGTCTGAGAACATAATTTGAAATAATGGAAACTCAGATCGTTCATTCCACAACCCAAAAATATTCATATAAAAATGATTATAATACGTAATATAATACAAAATAATAAAGAAAATTCAATATATAAAGAGAAATAATTAACCTGTGCTTACGTTTGAAAACCTTCATGGCTGGTGTGAGGGAGACGAGAAAGGAGGGTTACTGTTTTGGACGACTTTCACTATCACTAATGGAATAACTGCTGTTGGCTCAATGGACTCTTTCTTTTCATGCAGCTTTAGCAGGGAACCTCTCCAAGGATACTTGCTGTTGTCTCCTTTTGAGGATTTTATGAAATGTAGCATTTCATTGTTGTTATACAGTTTTATCACTTACAATGCTACAGCCCTATTCAAGTGCTTTTCTAAAACATTTTGTACTCTTTCCCACATTTTACACATCTCCCTAATCTCATTGGAAGTGAGGAATTCCTCTGCCTTGTTTTCTTCCTTCTCTGCAGACAAGAACTCCTCCACAACCTCTTGCTGTTGGGAGACACTCACCCGAAATCCTGCAGAGGTGGGGGGAACCATTGCCTCAGTTATGATCATGCGATCTTCCGTGTCATGTATTCCAAGACATCACTCATTTATTAAGTTAAAATTTATTAGGAGCATTTGCTCATCTTACAGAACTCACTGCACAAGGTACTCACCATCCGAGTTTTACTGACTAACTTGATTTTTCACCAATGCATCCAATTAACTTCTTCCTGTATTTTATCTGCCTCTGTAGTTGGTCTCCAAGGGGAAGTTGGCTTGACACAAGCTCCTTTTATCATGGCAAAAAGCAAAAATCTGCAAGAAGAAATCTCAGTTATTGGTCTTTTGAAATTCATGCCCACTTACTCCCCTCTGGAGGCAAGATACAATGGAGTACACACGCGATGAAAACCTTAAGGTGAAAAATCAGAAGTACAAGGGCAGCAGGGAAGGTAGAAGAAAGTATAAGGGAAGGTAATAATTGGAAATTTAAACTATGAATGATTGTCATAACTGAACATTGTATTTAGTATTGATTTTTCTTGAAACCAAGGTAAAAGGAAACATGTATGTTACGTTTATTGGCAGTAAGGAGGCTTGGAAGTTGGGATAGAGTAAAAAGGGATGGAGTTAGCAATGAGAAGTATGCTAGATGTTTGTTTTAATTTGGTTTTTGTAGGCTTAGGCAAAAAAAAATACATGAGAATTAGAAGGTAATAGGATTTAGCTATTACAGATTGTGCTACTATAAACGTGGGTGTGCGTATAACCCTGTGGTATGATGCTTTTAATTCTTCTGGGAGGATACCCAGAAGGGTCAAATGAGACCATTAATCCTAGTTTTTTGAGGAATCTCCACACTGATTTCCACAGTGTGGAGATTCCTCAAAAACTAGCCTATACCACCAGTGGAGAAAGGTTCCTTTTCCCCCACAGTCCTGCCAGCATTTGTTATTAATTTTTTCTTGAGGATAGCCATTCTTTCTGGAGTGAGATGGAATCTTACATTGTTTTAATTTGCGTTTCCCAAATGACCAGTGATGTTGAACATTTTTTCATATATTTATTTGCTGTTTGTACTGTTCATCTCAGATGCCTGTTTTTGGATTGAGTCTTTGAATTTGGAGAGTCTGATTTTTTTCATTTCTTTATATGTTCTAGATAGTAGTCCTTTGTCTGGAGAACAGCTGGCATAATTTTTTTCCCCATACTGTGGGTTGTCTCTTCACTCTGTTGGTTGTTTCTTTTGCTGTGCAAAAGCTTTTATATAAAGTGAGGTCCCATTTGTTGATTCTTGTGTGATCGGGATTTTGTTCATAAAGTCTTTGTCTTCCAGAATGCGCCCTATTCTGTCTTCCAGCAGATTTAGTGTTTCTGTTTAAATATTTAGGTCTTTCATTCATTTTGACTTTAGTTTAGTGCATGGTGAGAGACATGGGTCTAGTTTTAGTCTTTGACATGTGGAAAGCCAGTTTTTCCAGCACCACTTATTAAAGAGGCTATCCTTCTTCCAGTGAAGATGTTTGGCCCCTTTGTCAAAAGTCAGGTGCCTGAGTATGTTGGGATTTGTTTCTGTATCTTCTAGTCAGTTCTATTGATCCTCAGGTCTGTTTTTTTTTTGTTTTGTTTTGCTTTTTTTTTTTGTCAGTACTAGTTTGTAATAGCTAACTCTTGGAAGCAGCCCAAATGCCCGTCAGTCAATGAATGAATAAAAAAAAAGTAGTGTTTTTATATAATGGAGTATTACTCAGCCGTAAAGAAAGATGAAATTGATACATTGATAGCTAAATAGATGGACCTTGAGACCATAATCAGAAGTGAAATGAATCAGACACACGTGTAATATCATATTATCTCTCTGGTGTGAGAGACTGAAAATGTAAATAAGAACAAAAATGTACAATACATATTGTGAACAGTTTCTTCCCCCAAATAGGAAGAAACTGTTCAAAAAGAGAAGAAAACTGAGGAGGGGAGGGAGGGGGAACGGAAGGAAGGGAAATTAAAAAACGAGAAAAGAAGGATAAAATGAAGGCCGAGTTCTGTGAATGGGGAGGGAAAGGGGGCTTGATAGGAGGGGAGGGGAATGGGGAAAAAAAGAAGAATCAAGATATATCATGTGCAGAGACAAATTCCCTACAGTGAATGTGGTCATTATGTATACCTACGCTGTACCACTAAACTTAAATTTAAAGAAAATGAGCCAGTAATAGGAATGGATGTTGGAAAGTTCTGAGACTTGTATAAGAGGGTCCAGTCTAATTGAGGCGCTGCAACTTGAGACCAGGCCACTTAGTAATTGAGATGACTACTGATTTGACACCTGAGTGGTGAGAGATACCGATGTAGTTCTTGTTTTATGAGGGAAAGAATTCACAGTTGTCCATCAGGTATTTCTTTAGGCAGTAAATTTTAATGAAATTTTATGAGATAGGTTCAGTAGTACTTTTAAAGCTGATAAAGAAAAGATTTTCATGTTAAAGTTTTTATGTTGACCCTTGAAAAGAAATGAAGCTATAATGTTAAATTTTAACATATTAAAGACTTTTATTTTTCCAGTATTGGATACTGAAGAGAGTGCTTCAGTTATAGGCATACACCACCATACCCAGATTAAAGACATTTTCGTTAGGAACCGCACAGTTCACGTTCAGAAGTGTTTGGAATTCTTAATCTGAAACACTGGCAGAACTTGAAAAATTAGAGGAAATTTTTCCTTTCCCTTTTCCTTAGTTATGAGCTTTACAAAAGATTTTGACAAAATTGGCAATATGTAGATCTTCTTTTTGATTTGAGAAGAGCCATATGCTTTATTTTTTACAAGTTATATTTATTTTTAAGTATCATTTGCTGTTATTTAACAATATTAAAGGAAATTTGTACTAAATACCAGATTGCTGATGGCAAGTTGAAATTCTGTTACAAAATGTAAAATCTCAATTTGCATGGCTGCGGGGATATCCCAGTTCCGCATGCAAGACATTGCTCAGGTTTATGTCTTTTCAGATTAGAATATGATCTTTCAAGCAACTGTTCATATCTGCTTTATTTTTCCCTGTGGCACTGTAACATAGCCATTGTCAAAGGCACTTTGGCAGGTTGAGTTGGAACGTGGAGGAGGGAGTGAGTACATGAGTGATCCCAGGAGCTGGGGAAGGCTTCCTTGAGGTGCTGGGACTGGCGCTGCCTCTTGCTAGAGGATTATTGGGAAAGTATTCTAGGTGAAGGAGGCATAGAAGCAGGGGCCATTACGTACCAGAGAGCGTGACATTTCCAGAGAGCGAAGGTCATTTGTTATTCATTCATTTGGCAAATAGTTATTGAAAAATTACTGTGTATTAGGTCCTGTTCAAGACACTAGCATTTCACTAGGTCGGAGGATTGCTGAACTCAAGGCCAGCCTGGACTACTTCTTGAATTTAAGAATAGTCTGAACTACACAGGGAGACCCTGCCTCAAAAAAAAAAAAGACCTCAGCATTCAAAGGTGAACAAAACATACAAAGATATGAAGATCGCTGCTCATATGGAACTTACATTCTAGTGGGAAGAAACAGATCATATACAACAGTAAGTACGTGTACATAGAGTATATTAGTGATAAGCAACAGGAACAGTATGGAGTAGGCAGGTGCCATTTTAGGGCGGCCAGCAAGACCCCACTAAGAAAGCAGCACTGGAATAAAGGTCTGAAGCTGGCAAAGGAGCCAGCAGAATGAATATCAGGGAATGCTTTGGGCTGAAGAAATGTGCAAAGAGCCTATTCTAGTTACCTCTCTCTCATTGCTGAGACAAAATACCTGACACCCAAAGTTAAAGGGAGAAAGGTTTATTTAGCTCACAGTTTGTAGAGGTTTCAGTCCATAATCAGCTGGCTCCAAGGCAGGGTGACACAAGGCTGAGGGACAACTGTTCATGGCAGCAGAAGACAGCAAAAGTGATAAGGGGTGAGAGCCTCATTCTGTCCCTTCTATTGTATTCAGTCTGCTGAGATTAGGGCAGTGTCAAGCAAATCTGTGGACTGATCCAGCAACCACTCACCCTTAATCCCAGCACATTCAGTCCCAGCACTGCATCGTGAATCAGTCACATAGTTTATTTTGGGGGCGGTTATCGGGAATTGAACTCAGGACCTTGCACTTGCCAGGCAGGCACTGTGCTGTTGAGCTACATCCCCAGCCCAGTCACAAACTTTAGATTTGACCACCTCTGAGGAAGCCCCATCTAATACTACATGAGGCTTTGAGGGGACATCTAGACACAAACTGTAACAGTCTTTGAGGTTCACGTGGATCTGACTTACTCAAGAAAACCTGGAAAGAAAGCATAGCTACATAAAGGGAGAGGACCGGATGTGGGCTTGGAGAAGCAGAGCCAGGCCTCGTGAGGCCTCGTGAAGATTTTGGCATTTGTCTGTATAAAATGGAGTGACTGGTGGGGGGCAGAGTGAGATAGGGTAAGTTTTTAAATCACTTCGCATTGAGTAGCAGGTGAGAAGGATGGTGGGCTTCGGTCAGTTTGATCCTGTCAGTGAAAAGCAGCCATTGAAGATACATGATCAGCCGCATGACATAGGGTTGTTATGTTAAAAAGATGATTTTGGAAACCACACAGAAGAAGGACTGAGAAGTGAGACAAGGAGCTGGATTCGTTTCCAAAGCTCCAGTCACTAGGAATAGGGTAGCAATCTCACAGGATGAACAGGCTCATCCCTGAATGCCCTGCGAGCCAACTTCTTGACAACTGATAGGAATAGAAAAGACTTACACATTTGGAAATTACCTTGTAAGCCTTGCCAAGGAAGCAAGGTGAAAGATTAGTGCAAAGTGTATTCTCAAGGTGGCCACCTAGCAGATGACCACAAACCCTTGCCACATGCTGGGCACCGTCACCATACTACAAAAGCATTGGCCCATTTAATCCTCCCACAGCTCACAGGGGGTGTAGCGACATGGCCTTCATTTCGTAAATGAGGAGACCTGGGCACCACGCTGAGTTGCCTCTGAGGGCAACTTGCTATGCTTTCTTCTGAAAGGACTCACTAGAGATTCAGAATTTCTCATGGTCTTTAAAATTGAATGTAAAAATACAACCACTCATTTTTTTTTTTATTTTAAAGAATAAAAGAAGGATAACATAATAATAGGGGGGACTTAGCAAATTACAGACAAAATGGTAGGAAATTATCAATGGTTATCGTTTTACATATTATTATCTACAAAATAGTTTCTCAGGAAAACAAATAGACAAATAATAGTGAGTTAGAGACAAAAGAGGTAGGAGATTATCAAGAGTTGTTGCGCTATACTTTGGTATCTTCAAAGTGGCTTCTAAAGAAAATAAATAGAGCTATACATAAGTGACCTATTGAAAAATCATTAACTATTCTCAATGGTTGTTGTAGGAAACACATAATAATAAACATACATTATGAAATAGGATAGGAACACTACAAACTTAACACAGTTATGGATAGATTAGTAGGAAAATATCAATGGCTGCTGTAATACGTGGTGGTATCTTGAAAGTGGTTTCTCAGGAAGACAGAGATATGCAAGAAGGACCTATTAAGTAGTTACAGCCTAAGGGTTGTCAAAAATAGCATATTACCTCCTCACCAGTGACTCCTTTCACTGAGGTATGATGGCTGGAAGGAAGGCCAGGATTGAAAAGAAGGACCGAGAGACTTGCACCTGTGACTAGCAACAGGCTGTTTTCTTGTTCCTCCATAGTCATGATTACCCAGGACTCCTTGATGGAGATGACGGTCTGGCCAGAGGGAGAAGGCAGACCATGCCCCAAGCCCTCTCATTCCTGTTGGAGTAACTGGTAGCATGGGTCTGAGCTCTGGGCCCTCCACCTCAGAGGGCAGACCGATCTCCAGTGGTCTCCTTTGCATCCAGGGCATGGCCCATGGGGCCTCTTAGGGCAGTTCCTCTTGAGGACAACCACTCATTTTCTTTATGAGCTGTGGTGATGGTGGCTTCAGAGAGTTGGCCACTGCTGGGTGGAAATATGTATTATTTCAACACTCTTTGAGTTGCCATGACAGAAATTAGTTTGAAGCATAAGTGGAGGTGAGTGGAATTGCAAGGAACTGCATCCAGGGAAAGGAAGACCTGTAGGCATGAGTGCAGGGGACATGGCCTAGAAGGTATGGCAGGATCCAGCATCTTGGATGCTGCCATCAGGTCACTGGGGAGTGTTTTCTTCACCTCTGTGGTCCCAGTGTCTGTCTGGGTCTCTTCAGATTTAGTGCTGCCTATATGCAGCTTCTGAGCAAACAGAATTCTGACTTACCTCTTCTTAGCCTGGTCTTATCCCCAGAGCCTACCCCAGGCTCAGAGGTGTAGAGTGCGCCCCCCTGAGGACAGTGGAGGAACCTTGGGCTCTTGCTGTGGGTCTCCTGTGGGAAGTAGTAGGTGTGGAGTCACAGTGGCACCCTGCAGTCACTGAATTGGGTACTGTGATGAGGTCAACCTAGAGCAGGGCGTGACCAGTATGACTGGTATCTCCTTGATGTCAGAGCTTTCCTCCCTGGGTACCTAGAAAGAAAGGCGTTGATTCTACCATTCTTTGCTGGAAGATATGTGACCCATTCTGAGTTACCAACTTTAATTTTTTTTGAGTGATAGTGTCTCACTATGTTGCCCAGGCTGACTTTGAACTCTTGGGCTCAAGTGATCCTCCTGACTCAGCCTTCTGAAGAGCTGGGCCTACAGGCATGCAACACCATGCTCAGCAATACTTTATGCAATTAATTTTTTGCAGTGATGGGGATAGAACTCAGGGCTTTGTACATGCCAGATGAGCACTCTACCACTGAGCTACATCCCTAGCTGTACTCTGTATTTTGAGGAGAGGGATGTGTTTTAGCGTTTAGCTGCCTTTCTTAGAACACAAGTTCAGTCTCGACCCCCCCCAGCTGAGGGAGAGCGGTCACACTCAGCTCAGAGTGCATGCTGTCGCACATCACTGTTTCCCTTACATAATTACTTTCTTTTTCCCTTGTCAAAGGAAATGATGGATGGGGAAAATAAGAGATAGCTTTTAAAAAGTTCCATCAACTTTTCTTTTTAACCTTGACCCAAATTTAGATGCTTTGTTTTCATCGTAATCTAGTAGCCACCTGCCTTTGTTTACTTAACAAAATAGTGTATAATAAAACAGTATTTACTCCTCACTGAATGCAGTGTGCTCTGATCATTTCTGTTCATTTAAAATTCCATTTTAAAAAGCGCAACCACTGTAAGGTCCTTTCACAGCCCACTAATGGACGGCAGCCCAGAGTTTAAACCAGCGAAAAGCAGCAGCAGTGGTGTATCAGTTTGCTAGGACCGCCGCAAGAAAGTGCATAGACCTCGTGGCTTAAGTCACAGAACTCCTCTCACAGTTCTGACAGCTGAAGTCCAAGCTCAGCTGGCAGAGTGGGTTCCTTCTGAGGCCCCTGAGGGAGAATCTGGCGCATGCCTCTCCCTGGTGTCTAGTGTCTTGCTGGCAATTGTTGCTTTCCGTGGCTTCTGAGTGTTTCACCCTGATCTCTGCCTTTGTTGTCACATGGTGTTCCTGTGATGTATGTGTTTGTGTCCAGGTTTATCCCTTTTTAAGGGTGTACCAGTCAACTGAGTTAAGGCCCACCCCCTCCAGGGTGACCTCATCACAGCGTCACTAATCACATCTACAATGACCCTGTTCCCAGAGAGGGTCACATTCTGCCCTACTGGAAGCCGGGACTTCAACATGCAAATGTTGGGTGCAGTGTACAACTCAACCCATAGCAAATAATAAAAACACAACATTGATGGTACATAATTAAAGTTCTCAATTTATTGAGCCCCAGTTATGTGGTAGACGCGCAGCTGAGCATTGTGTTTCATGACCTCAATGACACCATCTTGCCCTGTTTTATAATTGAGGAAGCCAGAGCTGAAAGAGATGTAGACCTGTTCTCTTTGGCTTGAGAGCCGTGCTTTCCCCCCCGGGTGTCTTACTGCGATGCCTGTTCACAGAAGGTCAAGGAGCCGCACATGGTTTTTCAGTCTGGATTCAAATGCTAAAAACGGCAGTAAACGCTCTACAAAGTTGGGCTGAAGTCCATGGCAAGGCGGCCTTCTGAAAGGACTCACAGGTGCCAGGTTTGCATGGGTTACCTACTCCTAAGGACGGGGACACCGGTTAGCCCGTGGCTTTGCCCACAGGTCTGGCCTCAGCGGCAAGCCATTCTCGGCAATGCCAGCAACCAGCCGGGCTCCCTCCCTTTGCACTTCCCATCCTCATTCTCAATTTAGATCAGGGTGAAGAGTAGAGAGAAGGAAATGAGCCAGAAAATAGAAAATTAATACTTGGTAGAATCATCATATTTTAAAATTAATTTATAGTCAGTGTCAGATAACAGGAGTTAAATCATTTTATCAGCAGGCCACTCTAGGATTTAAAAATTGGCATCCATCATTGTAAAGCAGGTCTCGGGAGCCCCAAGGAATGGTCCCTAAGGGATGAGGGTTGATGTAGGGTGGGCAGAAATGTAAATACTTAATTAGCTGTGTCCTTTTTTTTCCACACAGAACCTAAAATACTTCTACATCACACTGAGGGATAGGGCTGGGGATTTAGCTCAGTGGCGAGGTCGTGAGTTCGATTCCCGATACTGGAAAAAAAAAACAACAAAACACACCGAGGGATAATGGTATGTTAAATAGTAACGAGAGGGTTGAAGCTTTTCAGGGTTTTGGTTAGCTTACTTTTTTTGGGGGGGTACTGGGAATCGAACTCAGGACCTCGCACTTGCCAGGCAGGCTCTTGTGCCACTGAGCTATATCCCCATCCCTAGCCTACTTTTAAAACTTTATCTTCCTCCCTGTCAATCTCAGGAAACTGGTTGTGCAAGAGGTGCTTGTTCCAGGGTGGTATTTCCTGCTCATGATGCTGGGGACACTTTGGCCTCCTTCTGCAGAGACCCATTTTCCGCAGCAGCCTGGAAGTTGTATTTGTTCCCTGGCCCGTGACCAGGAGCATCCTTGGATTTCCCAGTTATACTGTGCGCATCTTCTGTGATTAAAGACCTGCCTTTCATCTCCTGTCGTTGCAGCTCTTTGTCGTGGGCGTGTGGTGAGAGTCCCTGCGGGAACCCTTGTCCGAGTGGTAGGCACTGAGCTGGTCATCCCCTGCAATGTCAGCGACTACGATGGCCCCAGCGAACAGAACTTTGACTGGAGCTTCTCCTCTTCGGGGAGCAGCTTCGTGGAGCTTGCGAGCACCTGGGAGGCGAGCTTCCCGGCCCAGCTGTACCAGGAACGGCTGCAGAGGGGCGAAATCCTGTTAAGGCGAACTGCCAACGATGCTGTGGAGCTGCACATAAAGAATGTGCAGTCCTCGGACCAAGGCCACTACAAGTGTTCAACCCCCAGCACAGACGCCACTGTCCAGGGCAACTACGAGGACACAGTGCAGGTTAAAGGTACTGTCCTCACATGGGGTCGTCGTGCTAGGCCATACCTTCCTCTGCCAGTTGGCTGTGGGTCTCTATGTCTCTATGTGGGTCTCTATCCCTCTATGTGGGTCTCTATCCCTCTATGTGGGTCTCTATCCTAGCCCCCTGTCCAGCAGAGTAGTAGTGCCTTACGTGATTAAGGGGACGCCCCACTCAGTCCAGTTTCTGGCTCTGCCACTTGGCAGCCATTTGGCCATGAGCGTAGTACATGCCGGTCTTCCTCCTCTGTGCGAGAGTACCTACCTTTGAAGTGTAAGGCCGGGTGAGTTACCATGAACCAGGCCTTAGTGCCGTGCTGTAGTAAGCTTTCAGGGGACCGTGACAGGAAGGTGATGTGCATGACAATGATGATCAGATTTATGGGAATAGCAGTATTATAAGTTTCATCTCTATTTGTGAACTTCATGGTTCAAGTACATACTTGTACCGGAAGTAATACGTGTTCTGTGTAGAGAAAGAACAGTATGGTCACTGCTAGTTTATTGGCCTGGCCATGCAAATCTTACGTACCTGAAATGTCTTAGGTTTTATTTTTGTTGTTGGTGTGTGTGTGTGTGTGTTACTGGGGGTTGAGTTCAGGGCCTTTTCACTGAGCTACATCTCTAGCCTTTTTAATTTTTTTTTTTTTGTTTTTTTTAGACAGGATCTCTGTGAGTTCCCTAGGCTGGGCTTGAACTTAAGATCTTCCTGTCGTAGTCTCTGAGAGTATTATTTTTCCGTGATCCTTTTAGACTAACTAATACATTCAGTTCTGTGAAGCCAGTGAAGAAGATAGGGCAGAATATTTGCCTAATTTACACATGTAGAAATGGAAGAGCATAGGTTAATTACTTGCCCAAAATCATACAGCTAATTAGTAATTGAGCCATTTGAGGCTAACATAATAAAAACATTATTATTGTTGTTATTGTTCTTAATTATATATTTATTTGTGCTCTGCTTTGTTCCCAAAATGATTTATATTGAGTAGAAATGTAATTGTCAGGAAAGTAGAAAATATTTAAGAAGTTATAAAAAGAGAGGGTTGATCCAGGCATTCATTGCTACTGAAATGTTTTGGTAGAACCTACCGTATCTCAGATACTGTTCCTCACTAGAGATTCATAAAGGATAAAACAGCATTCCACCACACATCACACCTTACCTCTTACATCCTCCTGTAGAAAATCTGGGAGGTGTTTTTTAGAAAAAATACCCAAAAAGACATTCTTCCTATGGAGTTAAATAATGCAAGCTATCACCCTCCACTGGGGCAGATGCACACTTGTCTCCCCTGTGATTCTCTTCTTCAGGGCTGAGAGGGAGGCAGGAGAAGCAGGGGAGGGTTTTCTTGGCTCAGGAAAGCAGATAGTTGACCATGAGACACTGGCTGGCTGCCCAGGTCGAGCCTCTGGCAGCTGCTGCGGTTGGCCCAGGGTCTGTCTGGTCTTAGCTTCATGGGTCTTGAAACTGTTTGTCCATGCCCCGAGAGATGAACTGGCCTTGAGAAACCGAGTCATGTTAGCCAGACCTACAGATTGAAGGTCATCATACTCATTCCACAGGAAGGACAGATCTTTGGGGTGTAGCAGTTGTCAGGAATCCCTTCTCCCGGGACACTGAATTAGTTTCTGAATGAGGAGTTGAGAAAAACCCAGAGATGATGAGTAGGGCTGCTTGAGAATCCTTTTATCCAGCTCATAGATAAGCCTGGTGGTTTGTTCTCCGCTGCTTGGTAGAAGGCCCTGTCTGGTTACCAGAGTGCCAGCACCTTGTGCTCATCACACCTCTTCCTAAGTAGCACGCGCTGGTGCTTCCTGGAGCGCTGGTGCCCTCTTGTAGGCTCTGTGAAGGTGCTTCCTCCAGCAGGCCCTCGGAGTGCACAGCCAAGCCTTCCCCTCCTGCTGCCCAGGCCCCACCTCACTGCTGCCCGCCACTCACCCGGCTTGTTCGCAGGGCAGTGCCCAGGTCAGGAGTCACAGGCAGCTCAAGCCATCCTTTGCCCCCAGCAAATCATGCGGCTTTAGATAAACTCTTAGAAGGCTGCCTCACCTGCAGGCTCAGGCTCTCTGTGCTAGCCCTGCAGGGGGGCAGAGGTGTGTCTGACGGTCGTTTTCTCCTGATGCTCTTTATCTTCTGGAACTCTCAGAGCGACTCCACGAGGAAGGTCCGGTTGTCTCCCCCTTTCGGGGAACTCAACTCCCAAAGGGAGTTTTCATTCACTACACCTCATTCTAGCCGGGGTTTTATTAATGCCTTTTCTCCTCCTTCTCTTCCTCACCTGCTCTTCTCTTTTCTTTCCTTCATACATTTTTTTCTTTGTCTCTCTTTTCCTTCCTTCCTTCCTTCCTTCCTTCCTTCCTTCCTTCCTTCCTTCCTTCCTTCCTTCCTTCCCTCCTTCCTTCTTTCTGTCTTTCCTTCTCTTTTACCTTTCTTTCTTCTTTCTTTCTTTGTTTCTTAAGTTGGAAGAGCCATTTGAGACTGTAGATGAGACAAAATGGGAAGACGCGCCCCTGTGGGCATCAGAACAGGGAAGGGAGGGAGAGAACTGTCTGGGGGCACAGCTGTGGGCGTGGCCTGCCCTCGCCCTGTGGGATCCCCCTGAGGAGGCTGCAGACTGACGTCCTCTCTGTCCCCCGCAGTGCTGGCCGACGCCCTGCACGTGGGCCCCAGCGCGCGGCCGCCGCCCAGCCTGAGCCTGCGGGAGGGAGAGCCCTTCGAGGTGCGCTGCGCCGCCTCCACCAACTCGCCGCTGCACACGCACCTGGCGCTGCTGTGGGAGCTGCACCGCGGGCCCGCACGCAGGGCCGTGCTCGCCCTCACCCACGAGGGCAGGTTCCGCCCGGGCCCCGGCTACGAGCAGCGCTACCACAGCGGGGAAGTGCGCCTGGACACGGCGGGCAGCGACGCCTTCCGCCTCTCTGTGGCCCACGCGCTGTCCGCGGACCAGGGCTCCTACAGGTGCGTGGTGAGCGAGTGGATCGCAGAGCAGGGCTACTGGCAAGAGATCCAAGAAAAGGCCGTGGAAGTCGCCACCGTGGTGATCCAGCCAACAGGTGAGCTTCCGGAATCGATGTCTTGCAGAGGGAGGCCTACGCTGTGACGGTGGCGGTGTAAAGATCCAGGCGAGGGAGCCCCACCTTTTGTGACAAGATCGATTGTCTCACCCGGGAGGTTCCCTTGAGGTGGAGGGAGAGGGCAGGGTGAGAGTGTGGGGTGGCGCCTCTGTTTGGGCTGTGTGTCTGTAGTTTTGTGTGGCATCTGCATTTACCTCAACTTGGACCCAAGCTGCTGTGCACACACATTATAGAAAGGCAGTTCTGTCTCTTAGAGGTGGAGAACAGCAGGCCTTGTGGGACCAATGACCTGCTTAGTGCCCAGGGGCAGTTTCAGGATCTGCCCACACCTGCTGCCTTAGTTGTTTGTTTATTTTACTTACTTATTTATTTATATATTTATGTATTTATATATTTATTTATTTTGTGGTATTGACAGTGAATCCAGGGACTTCACACTGAGCTACATCCTCAGTCCTTTTTATTTTTTTTTTATTTTTAGACAAGGTGGGCTCAAGCTCCGCCGCCACCTCTCAGAGTGCTGGGATTATGTATTTATTTATTTATTTATTTTTATGGTTCTTTTTTTCCGGTACCAGGAATCGAACTCACTACCTCGAGCTTGCCAGGCAGACGCTGTGCCGCTGAGCTAAATCCCCAGCCCCAGTGCTGGGATTATGTTGTAGGTGTGCACCACTGTGCCTGGCTCTTAGCTTTATTGTGTTCGGTGCTTCCTGAGTCCATGGATCTGCCTTTCCCCACAACTTTTGGAATGCATATGTGGCTCACCGCAAACCTCTGGGCTAACTTGCATCTTCTAGGCTTGTGCTGGGGTTCCCTCGGGCACACCACCCCTTCAGGAGGCGCTCCTGAGGGCTCAGTCTTCTATAGCATCTCTTTCTCTCTCTTTTTTTTTTTTTTGTCTTTTTGAGACAGGGTCTCGCTATGCAGTTCTGGCTGGCCTTGAGCTCACTTTGTATCCCAGGCTGGTCTCAAACTTACAACGATCCTCCTGCCTCAGCCTCCCAAGTGCTGGGATTACAGGCGTGTGCCACCATGCCCAGTTACAGCATCTCATGGCATATGTACCTGAGGAGCATGTGCCCTGGCTCTGTGCAAGAAGTCTTTTGTCTTACCATCTGTTAGTCTGCCTTTTTTGAACCCTCCCCTCCAACTACAAAAGTAATTAAGAAAATAAAAACACATGGTAGAAAACACACAAAAATAGGTGAAAAACAAATATGAAAAGCCACTGTTGGCTTGCTGTTCTACAGCAGCAGTGGAGAACTCACTGGCCCAGGGGCTCTGGGGTCGGGTACTTGCGACTCCTCAGACCCTGTGCAGCTGACCGCGTTAGCAGAGACAGAGTAAAGAGACCGTCGGAAGGTAATGTCATTGCTGGGGATGGACAGATGTACTTGGTTTTCTGAGTGTCTAACATCTTCCCAGAGTCCATTGTCATTACTGTTGCCTCTTGGTTTTTTGTTTTGTTTCGTTTTTTTCTCTGGTGCTGGGAATCGAACTCACAACCTTGCACTTGCCAGACAGGCGCTGTGCCGCTGAGCTAAATCCCCAGCCCCTTGCCTCTTGTTTTTTAAGTGGGAAAGGCCTTGGCCGGACTCATTTCCTGAGCAGGAGTATGAGTGTGTAAGCACTTTGTTCCTCAGATGGGAAGCAAAGCAGGAAACAACGAGCACCGAAAGGGTTTTGTCCCCACAAGCTGCATTGTCCTGAGCATGTACCTTTGCATTTAAACCATCATGTTGGAGCTAGACTTGGTAGCCGCAAGTGTGAAAAGCAGGCCTGAGCTTCGCGAGTGACTTTGTGGAGAAGAGGAGCTGTCCGTCATGCTCAGTGTTGGCTCCACTGGCTGTAAAAGTCACTTTTCAGATGCACGCAGAAGGGAGCACCTGAGCAGAAGAGATCTGTCTAGAATACACATACCCGAGGAACTCACCAGCAATTCAGCTTGCTGATCAAACAGCTATTTTAATGAGGCAGGAAGGTTAAGAGTTCCAATTTCGCAGTAAATTAACCATTTTATGTAGAAATTTCAATTGTAAAGGTTTTTTTCTATTTCAAACCCCATAGTAATATCTAGTTATAAGACTGGAGCGCTCTGGGCCTATTAGGCAGGTAATAGTGTCTACCTCTTGCTTGAGACTGAGGATTCACAATCTTTTCTATGCTATTGGTCTCTTTGATGTTCCTTTGCAGCCTGTAGGTTGTTTGTCAGAATTAATATGTTTCAATTCATAAAGTACAATACATGAGATGACAAAGGGAAACAATTATATTGAAGTAATTATCAACATATTTTAAGACAAATTTGTTTTGTAGTAATATTATACTTTATTAACACATTAATAATAAGATATAATGGCAGGCCTAACAACTACTGTAATTTCTGGGCAGTAATGAATGTAAATGATGTTTCAGGGTTAAACCCCAAGAAAGGTAATACTATTCTTTCACAGTGAAAGGAGATGCTGTATTTTGGGGAAGGTTAATAAAAATAAAGATGGAATTTTTTTTCCCACCTGTGTTCACAAGGCCTCGAAATTCTCTTTGGTGACTCCAGGTGGAGAACCACACTCGAGTTCTGGTCATTCTTTTCTTATCTACACCTACACTCCCCGTAGCTGCTTATCAACCTTGGTTGCCCTGTTATAAATGATACAGAACCACTGGGATAACAAAGCTGTGTTGCCTGTGTGGTAGTATGCCGCCCCCTTCTTACCAGGAGTGCTGGATACAAATCTTGCTGTGTAATTTATGGATTCAAGTGTATTATGTGGGAGAAAGTCTGCATTACTACAGGCTTTGTCTGGGTCCTTTCTTACATTAGCAACCCTAACACTGGGACTGTTTTTCCCCTCACCCTGCTCCATGCTGTCTTCCAGTGGTAAGCCCCCAAATCCAGAATGTTTGAGGCCTGTGGTTAGTGAAGTGACAAGATATTCAGCCACTTGTACAAAGAAAATTACGTAGTGTGTTACACAGTTGAATAGACATTCCTGGCAATATTTCCAGAACCTAAGTGCTTTGGCTTTCATCTAAATGTCCCCCCAAAGCCTCCTGTGGTCACAGGTACAGCTTTTTCAGAGGTGGCTGGATCCAGAGTATGTGACACTGGAATTGATTCATGGTGCAGTGCTTGGCTCAAGGGCACTAGGATTAAGGGTGTGAGTGCTACCCACCCTAAGTAGCCTGAATAAAATAAAAGGGGCAGAAAGGCGCTGTTAAGACCCTTTGTTGCTTTGCTGTCTTTTGTCTGTCATGAACTCTGCCTTGTGCAACCCTGCCTGGAGCCAGCCGATTATGGACTGAAACCTCTACAAATTGTGAACTACATAAACCTTTCTCCCTTTAACTTTGGCGTCGGGTATTTTGTCTCAGCAACAAGAAAAGGAACGAAGACACTGAGAATCCATTTTCATGCTGTATACAGTCCACAGCTGCATGGTGGACGTTTCTTCGCAGACTTGATATCCTCCTACGTCATCTTTTATCTCCAGTAGCGGATGGCCTGACAGGCACAGTTCCAGCAGATTTCAGGGTCTGTGACCAGAGCATTATAGGCAATGTAATTCAGCCTTAGGAGTGGGCTTGGGGTGGCAGAATCCGTGAGTCCTCTCAAAAAATACCCTCACATGATTTTGGACCCTTTAAAGAGGTAGCGGGGGGAAAGCATTTGGAAGGTGGGTGGAGGGTGAAACTGGACTTTCAAATTCCTTTTCCTAACTCTGTGCCCACCTCACTTTCTCTTGTCTGTCAAGGTGGATGTTGAACTTGGCTTGAAATACCTGATTGAAATATTGTTTGGTTTTGGAAATAATTCATATGGAAGGGACGGACACCAAGGACCTGGGCTTTGGGGTGGGATCTCGCCCTTTGTCCTCTAGAGCTTCCCGGGGACAGGAATTGATGCCGGCTGACTTGCTTGCTGTGCCTCCTCTTAAATCCCCTACAAGATGCTGGCTATATATTACCTTAGTAGTTGTTCCCAGAGCATTACTGTAAGTTGTATGTTTTTCTACTCAGATTACAGATGTTCAGTTTCATTTTTAAAAACCCACTGAGTAGAGTAAAATGTTTTCACATATGAAGCTTTGACAGGGATACTGAAACTAGATTTGCCTTGAGTCCATGACACCAAATACTCTGGTGCTTTATCTAAATATAATCTTCTTTTTAATTACCCACACTAATGAGAGAGGGCAGTACACAGATAACCCAAAAGTCCCTGTGTTTTGGTTTTAGGATACTGTTTCATGATTGAGTTTAGGTGGGCATGTCTAATGAAATAAATGATACTCTGAGTACATTATATTTTGACAAATTGACTCATAAGGAAAATTATCTGGTTCTCCTTTCCTGGCTGTCCTGTCTGTTTAGGATTTTCCTTTTTCTTCATTTTCTTTCTTTTGTTTGTTTGTTATTGTGCTGGGGTTTGAACCCAGGACTCTCACACCCTATGCAAAAAATCTGCCACTGAGTTACATCCCTGGGCAGGAAGTTTTTGCTTTGGTCCAGAAGATAGTTTTATTGTCACCTCCTGCCTTTCATTCCCCAACCCTACGCTGATATTACACACCTCTCAGAACTAAGCTGTCTTTTTGGATAAAATCACCATAGTTTTATCTTACATGTGGAAAGAGTATGTTAGTTTTGTGGTGTTCAGTAGACTTCTTATCAAACTAGAGTGTAACAGTGAAGAGCAGAATTCCTAGAGGCAGCTGCTGTAGATTTGCATCCCAGCTGGGTCACATATTAGCTGTGTGACCTGGGGCAGGTTACTTAACTTCTCTTTGCTTGAGTTTCCTTATCAGTAAAATGAGAATAATAGCATCCCCTACCTAATAGGATTATCTTGAGGATTAGCATTTATAAAGCGTGCACAACACTGCCTGACATATAGAGTAAGTGTATGTAAGTGTTTGCTACCATGCTTTTTAAAATAAAAAGAAATGCAGTATGTTTTATAAATTTATTCATTAAAACATTTCTCAGGCACCTACACAAATATACAAAGTTTTCTCATTTTAATGCCAGACACGAGAACTTCAAAGGAGATGATCTAAAGGGAGACAGGGTTGGAGATGGAGGCAGAAGGGACAGACATAATCCACTGTATGTACTTAGATGTATTTGTTCTCCATTTTCAAGTTCTGCGAGTAGCTGTGGCCAACAATGTGTCCGTGGCTGAAGGGAAGGAGCTCGACCTGCCCTGCAACATCACCACAGACCGAGTGGACGACGTCCGGCCTGAGCTGACGTGGTACTTCAGCAGGACTCCTGACAGCACCTTGCCTGCCCGCCACATGTTGGCACGGCTGGACCGTGACTCCCTGGTGCACAGCTCACCTCACATCGCTCTGAGTCACGTGGATACACGCTCCTACCACTTACTGGTTCGAGATGTTAGCAAAGAAAACGCAGGCTACTACTTCTGCCACGTGGCGCTCTGGACACCAGGACACAACCGGAGCTGGCACAAGGTGGCAGAGGCCATGTCTGCCCCAGCCAGAGTGGGTGTGACATGGCTAGGTGAGTGGTTTGCAAAATGGCTCTTAGCCTTCCTGCTTAATCACTCCTTGCGCCATCCGGAGGAGTCTGGGTGCTGTGCATTCTGCAGTATTTAAGACATTCTCTGTATCGGGACAAATGTACTTTAGCTCAGCTAGATCCCAAGCTGGAGGTGAGACTCTAAAATAGAATCTTGCAGGCAGGGGCAGTGTTTGGATCATGTGGCCTCAGTGGTCTCAGTACCACATGTGAGAGGATGTATTTTCCTTTTCTTGACAGTTGTGGGGTCCAAGCCCTGCTTAATGGCTCTTTGAAATGGATCTTTGCTAGAGGGAGAGCACTGCCCTCTTCCCTCTCCTTTCCCTAGACTCCTGCGTACTTCTTGGCAGGAGCTGGTGCTTTTCAAAGCCCAAGGCAGAAAGAGAATTCCTTCAGCCAGCATGCGGTGGTTTTTTTTTAACCTAATGCCATAAAATCCCAAAATGATTTTATTTGCAGATGCCAGTTATATGTAGGGGCCTTGCTGTTTCCCTGAGCTCTTCCCGGGCATTGTCCCAGCCAGGCCCAATACCAATAGTGAGAGGCAGACGCACTCATTTCAGAGCAATGTGTCATCTGTATGAAGCTCACTGGCATGACCTTGTCACGTATGTGAAGGTCATTGGCAGGAGCTCTTGCTTTCTGCATCTCTTTTTTTCTACATGTTTGCCTACTGGGAAAAATGTGTGCTCGCTTTTCCAAAGTTCTGTTAATGGCTTGTAATCATGAGTAAATTTAGGAGGGGTGGGATCAAGTGGGGTGTGGAGGGCCTCACTTCCCACTGACAGTGTTACAGAGATGTGATGGGCCTACTGTTTGGGCTTTTCCTTGTTTTGAGCACCATCTCTCTACTAGTCCTTGAGTGCTTAGGGTCCTAATAAGGCGTTTGGTGTCGCTTTGATTGTTAGGGGGTAAAACAGATCATTAAAGGCTAGGAAATGGTTTCCTCCTTTGATGGTGTACTTCTTCCTGTCATTACATGCAGCTCCTACTTAGCTTTTCCTTGTTTCTGCATGAAAATGTTCTGTCGGGTTACTGGTGTATTCACTGTCTGTTTGTCCCTAATGAATCTTTATTTGGCAAAGATGGGGATTTGGCAAGTGGGGATGGAGGGGGCAGGGAAAAGAGTACTAAGAGGGTAAGCCGCAAAAGCAGAAGGGACAGTCCAGTTGGGCTTGAGACTAGGCAGGCTGTTAGTCATCCCTGTTAGCAAAGTGATCTTTTGATATCTGCAAAGTAAAAGCAGGAAGGTTTGTCTGGTGAGCTTTTGTTCCTGCCATCTGAACCTTGTGCAAGAGACTCACTATGAAGTGCTGAACTGGAACAATGTTGGCCCAGCTAGAACTCTCCTTAGCAACCTTCAAAATAAAACAGATGTTGTCAGCACCGAAAGATTTTTCATCTCTGGAGCTGAATTTGTCTCACAGCTCTGATCCTCAGTGCATTGTGTGGCGCTGTCAAATCCCGGTGCTGGCTCCCCCTGCTCTTCCCTCCTCCTCCAACTTCTGAATCCCAGCTCGAGGATTTTTTTTTTTAAGTGCTGCCTGCACTCCAATTTGAGGGCTTCTTTGAAGTCCTCATGTATTGATCCCGGCATGCCTCGGGGGAGGTTTAGGGACTGTCAGACATTGGGAGAGGAGCTCGGGGAGGGAGTGGGTTCTTTTAACTGGAAGGGATTTGTTGGTGGCTGTGTTCTCCAGAGAGGGAGGAGAAATAAAGAGACTAAATTGTGGAAAAGGCTCTGTTACTATCCTAAGGATCCTGTCATTGTTTTCCTGTGGAGTGCCAGCACCACTGTCATCAAAGTCGTCAGTGTGCCTTTCCCTGACTGGAGAAAGCCGTGTACACAGAACCTCGAACCTTCCCCAAAGCTTTGCGTGGACAGGTACTCAATAAATATTGGTTAAATTGATAAATATACCAGGACCACGGTAATGTTAAAATATGTGCGTAGGAAAACGAGTATCGCAAACAGTAATGTTCGGGCTGTAGAATATTCAGAGATACTTGCACATGAGCAAACTACCAGGAGGGTGTTACAAAAACAACTGTACTCTTGCCCTGTCTTCCCCTTAAATCTGTTCCCTCTTCCCTGTGCCTGTGACTCACACCCTGCAGCTGCTCGTACACTTGTCAGGAGACGAATTGGGCATAAGTTCAGCAGACCTTAGTCAGGACCTCCACACTGCATTCTCTGCCCAGAAGCTGAGGTGCCTGTCCTGATCCTAAACAGCTGTCTTTAGAAACGGAACATGCATGTATGTGCATGTGCATTCCCTGCCAGATTCAGCTGAGGTCTCCATGAGGTAGCAGAGAGGTGACCAGAAAGAAAACAAAATGAAACAGGAATGCAGGTGGCTTGCCAACTGTAAGTGTATCTTGGGTTGTAATGTCACAGGGTTGTAATGACATTGTGTAATGACTACAAAATGTCACAGAAGCATTCTTAAGAAAGCTGGATCTCCGTATAACATCAAATTCGGTTTTGTCACATGTCAGGGCAACAGTAGTAATTATAATTTATTGCGAACTTACTGTGTGCCGGGCACTGGGCTAAGAATTTTATGTGCACTTAATAGTTAATCCAATCAGGTGCTGTCTCCTAACCCTTCCTGAAAACAACTATTTTGTATTTTGCTTACAATCTTACGGATCAGGAATTAGGGAAGGACTCACTTGGGTTCATCTGAATGCACATAGTGACAGCTGGGACATCTAGGGCTGGGGATCCCCGTTGAGGTGGCTTTCTTAGTGGTAACTCCTTATCCTGATTCTGGGCTTGCTGTTCTCTCAGAACAGTCTTTCAGGGTTGTCACATTCCTATATGGCATCTGCCTTCCAAGAGGCAGGAAACAGAAGTTGCTGGACCAGTTAAAATCAATGCCTAAGACCAGTACGTGGTCATTTTTACTCTATTCTACTAGTCAGAGCCATCCAGAGGCCACCCCAGGTTGAAGAGATGGAAGAGACCGCCTTACCCATACGGCGTAGCCAAAGACTCCCTTAATGACAGCAGTCAGAGGGCAGAAGGGCGTGTAGTGTGGGAAATGCTACAGCCATCTTCAGAAAATAGATTCACCCACAGTGGTCAATACTTTATTTCATAAGAGATCTTTCGAGTGGTTTGGAGAGAATTATGGTCCTGTTCTCAGCATTTTCATCTCTGTGGAAATTTCGCCAGCCTTGAGAATCAGCTTGCCTCCAGAGATGCCTAGGAACTGGGCTGTCCCTGTCCTTCTTGGCTTGACCTCAGTGTGCTGAGGTGGATACGTGGCTAAAGCTGCTTGGAGTCTTCTAACTGGGAAGACATGGGGCAGGATCGTGAGCAGGCCTGGCAATCAAGGACTGATTGTAGCATGGGGAGGTTCGTGATGATTTTTTTAAAAGGTGAAAAAAAAGCCTCTTTTACTTAGGATGTCTGTCCTACTTTGAAGGGGAAAAAGGTTCAAGTTTGCTTGCAAAATGAAGCACAAAGCAGGAGACATAAAAATAAAATCAAGATCAAATGGGGTAAAAAAATTCTAAGAGTAGATATTGCAAGGTGGTTGGGATAAATTAGTTGCCGAATCTGCCTCTGAAGTTTTGAAGAGTTGAGACAAAAAGAGATGTGATTATGCAGTTCTCTGAAGAAAGAAAACATGAACTCTTTGAGAAAGACAAACTTTTTCTTGGCACTGAATTTATCATGTGCTTTTTCATTTCAGGGGCGTTGGATAACATACATAATGGACAGTGCTTTTGACTGTTCTCTTACAAAGGCCCTAAATGATTGTTTAAATGGATGTTTCTTATATCTACTCTCTATAAAAGCCGAGGGCATAAATCTTGAGTGTGTGAAGGAGTTCTCTAAGAAGCTGAATTACTGTGGGGGACAAATGTTGCATTGTGTTGATCCAATTTAGTATATGGCTAAAACTTAGCCTAGTGGAATGGCTAGTTAATGTGCACATTAAGCCATCGCTCTCTGCTATCAGATGTCTTAAATGAGCCTTTGGCAAGAGTTGGGTACTAATCAGCTCACGGTTGAGCTCTCTGCCCAAACTACCAGACTTGTGCAGCGTTAATTGGAGAGGGTTCCACGGGCTCTGAGACATGAGACGGGAGAGGCAGAGCTGACTTCTGCTGTTCAGTCCTAAGAACCTCATTTGCATTCTCCCCCCAAAGGACTGTCCCCTCTTCTAGCAGTGTGCCAGTGAGGAAGGTAATAATTTCTCTTTAAAAGTAGCTGTTAAGCTACTAAGCAGTAGAAACCTCAGTTTTGCACCATCCATAAGCGATAATACTTAGATCTGTAGAGTTTTTTAGAGTGCTGTTATCAGCTGTCTAGGATTATTCCTGAAAGCAGAATAGCATGTGGTCAAGCATTGGCACTGGGAAGACCTGTGCTGAGTCCCACTCCACCCGCTTCCAGGTGTGCTGCTTAGCATTTTTAAGCTTTGGTTTTCTTAGTATAGGAGGACAGGGCGTACGAAGTGCGTAGCACAGCACCTAACATGTCAGTGTTCAGTACATTGTTTTGGTGACTTGTTAGTGTTTGTAGGTCTTTGCTACCAAATTCTTAATCATGTAGGACATAGGACTGTGTCTTAGGCCATGGAGGAACTAGGAATGTGTGTCCTGGAAGCAGCTACTCCCAAGAGAGCTAGGGAAAGGGGCTGAACCGACCATACCTGGTCCTTTCCTACCCTACCAGCATATCTGGAAATTTATTGTTCCTCCTGTGGGAAAGTAAATGAGGAGGAAGAGAGAATAACCGCTTACTTTGGTTGCAGGGCGTAGGTGCTTCATTCAAATGATAGTATTTTGGCTGCTCTGAAATGGCTAGTGCTGAGTACATCCTCATGATAATGGATCTGCTGTGATGGAAAAAAGTGCTCCTAAAAGCGGTTCCTTATTGATAGCCATCTCTGTTGGAGAATATTTAATTGGTATAAAATGATGATTGTGACAACTGAAGGACAATTGGTACATATATTCAGCCG